AGTAAGATTCTGACTTGGGTTCACGAAATATCTATCGACCAGACTCGAGTCTATAAAACTGTCGTACGTATTTTCTTATAAAAAAAATGCCTATTGTTCAGCTCAATATTTTCTCCAAGTATTTTTCTGATAATACTACTCAAATAAACAATTCTTGTTCGTTTAACTTAATCTAAACAATTTCGATAACTTATCTTATAAAAGTTGTAATGTCTATAATGTTGTTATCGAAGTTATAACTTCGAAACGACATACTTATATACGTATATATGAACGAGTAAGAAAGCAAAGAAAAGTCAACAAATGTAAATATTAATGACCGATTAAACTTCTACGAAACCAAGAAAAGAAACTGATGAACATTCTCGTACAGGATCAAGTAATTTTTCGACAATTATATAAGTAAGATAGTAGATTACAGAATGTGCTGTAAAATTTTTTCTTCTATATCAGTGTTTTGCGTAGCATGTGTACCAAACAAACGAAAGTTCGATACACTACTGTACACTTTGAAGAAAAACTAGAACGTATGTTGAAGGTTTTGGTCAAGAAATCAATTCTTTTTTTCGAACATCGTTCAGTCTGTTTTTGATCAAGAAAAACTGAATGAAAATTTATTACGATTTCATAGAACATACTCTCTAACTTATTTTGGCTGCCTTAATCTGTTTTGGTTTTTCTTATACGAGACAAAAATAGAAATATAGTTCGTCATTATTGTTATTCATTATTATTAATATATCTATTTTATTAAATGAAAATAAAATTTGTTAGTTCTTGTTGTCTCCAGATGACTTGACAAAATTATATTGTTGTACATTTTGATATATTGTTTTTACCAGAAGAAAGTGCCCAAAAATACTTTTCCAAGTTTCCAGTGAAAATAGTCATCGTTGATGGCCTAGAGAAGTTTTTGATATTTTTTATTTTTAACTACTTCCATCCATCTTACTATGCTTATCATTTATACGTTGGGAATAGTTGTTCTTCATGAAAAAAAATCGCTTCTAACACCGATGTGACCAAGGTGAGTGATTATTGGTGGCAAGAAAAAAGAAAAGAAAAATTATATTTATATGCAACGTGGTGATACAAAAACAGAGCACCTTATCACATGTTTACATCTTGGTTTGAAAGAAATACAAAACTACATCATATACTACAACTATTTTCGATAAAAAACTAGGACAAAAGAGAGTGGCGAAATGTAGGAGCATAATGATAAAATAAAATTTAAACAAAATTCGCTGATCTTATAGTTTTTACAAAGATCCTTTACATTGTAGATTTGTTATTTAGTTTATTTTATATAAAATAATTATTTTAATCATTGATACATATTTCAAAAATGTCATACTATCCACGTAATATGCTTGGTTATGGTCAATATTCACCACATCCTCGTTGGCCCAATGATGCTTATATTGCTGTTCAATTCGTTCTCAACTATGAAGAAGGTGGTGAAAATAATATTTTACATGGAGATGCTGCATCCGAAGCATTTCTCTCTGAAATTGTTGGTGCTGCTCAATGGCCTGGTTTACGTCATTGGAATATGGAATCCATCTATGAATATGGTGCTCGAGCTGGTTTTTGGCGTTTACATCGTCTCTTTACGGAAAAGAATATTCCTGTCACTGTCTATGGTGTTGCAACTGCTCTTATGCGTTCACCTGCACAAGTAAATGCTATGCTCGATGCTGGATGGGAAATAGCTTCACATGGCTATAAATGGGTTGAACATAAGGATATGTCTGAAGAAGTAGAACGTCAACAAATTAATGAAGCTATTCGTTTACATACACTTGCTACTGGTCAACGTCCAACAGGTTGGTATACTGGCCGATGCTCAATCAATACAGTTAATCTGGTTAGTGAAGAAGGTGGATTTGAATATATATCAGATACTTATGATGATGATTTACCTTATTGGTATGAACATAAAGGTAAAGCACAATTGATTATTCCTTATACGCTAGATGCCAATGATATGCGATTTGCAACTCCCCAAGGATTTAATTGTGGTGATCAATTTTATATTTATCTTAAAGATGCTTTTGATACACTTTATGAAGAAGGAAATAAAGGTAGTCCAAAAATGATGACTATTGGATTACATTGTCGTTTAATTGGTCGTCCTGGTCGCATTGCGTCTTTAATTCGTTTTATTGATTATATAAAAAATCATGAAAAAGTTTGGATACCAACTCGTATTGACATTGCTTGTCATTGGAAAAGAACACATCCTTATGTTAAGTCAGATCTTGTACCATCAAAACTTGATCGAAGTACATTTGTAGATCGATTTGGATCAATTTTTGAAAATTCATCATGGGTTGCAGAACGTGCTTTTGATGGTGAACTTGCTCCAGCTAATAATACAGCAATTGGTCTACATTTTGCTCTACGAACACAATTTCGTGCAGCATCAGATGAAGAACGTTTAAAAGTATTACTTGCTCATCCAGATTTAGCCGGAAAATTAGCTGCTGCAAAACTTTTAACAACTGAATCAACAAATGAACAAGCTTCTGCTGGTCTTGATATGCTAACTAATGAAGAACGAACGATCTTTACTGAATTAAATGATAAATATACGAAAAAATTTGGTTTTCCATTTATAATTGCCGTAAAAGATAATACAAAAGCAAGTATACTTGAAGCTTTCAAACGTCGACTTGAAAATGATCGTGAAACTGAATTTCGTACAGCTTGTGAACAAGTAGAACGTATTGCTTATTTACGTTTGAAAGCTGTTTTACAAGATTAACTCTTTTTTTTTTACTTCATAGGTATACTATTAATAGTATATTCTTAGTTTAAATCTTTCGGCGATTTTGAATTTTGAATTGATTGTGTATTTTAATTTAATATTAGTACATACTAAATAATATAAAATATAAATGATTTTCATTTCTAGAATGGTATTATTAAGGCAAATTTTGCTCAACTAAATATTTATCTTTCAATTATTATTTTCCAGTTCATTCATTGTTAAAATATGAATGATGGGAAAAGAAGAGTATAATGCACAAACACATGAGAATGACGATTGTGTCAAAGTCTTTACATTGACTTAAGAGAAACAAGGATAAGATTGTATAAACCATGAGTAATATGTTGTTATGAAGTTAGTTGCTTTTATGTATTTGTGAAGATGAATATTTAAAATATCTGAAACTTATAGTGTCTAAACTGTAGTTGGATTATGAGATATTAGAAAATATATATTTAGTTAGTATGTGAACATAATTCTTTCGATGAAATAATATTTTTTTTTTGATTATGAAAGCTCAATAATGAGTATCAATATTTTGATGGATATAACAAAATAATCAATATAACTGTTAAGCTGTCAAAATTACTCTTTAACCTTTAAAGTTTGCTAAGACAAGAGTAAAAAAGCTGATACCTCAATTGTTTGTGATAAGAAGTTATTTATTCATTCCAATGTAGCTCAGAATTACATATTTACGCATCTTTATTTTTTCGAAATTGTCCTAAAATCTGTTTCACATATCAGAGTTTCATGAAGCGATTCCACGCCATTGATCATGCAGAGATTTGGTTTGACGTTATATCATTTGAAGCATATTGATACCATAGTTTTTCAAGTTCCAATAGTGATAATCCATTTAAATTGAATCGAGTTGAGACCGTTAATGCAGCAGAGGGTCCATGTTAATATTTATATATCTATGAAGCTTAGTAGTGTTTGATCTTGTGAAAAATTAAAATAATTGAATTAACTTCGTTTTTTGTTGAAGAAAAACAGAATGAATAGTAACATATTTCATGGTATCATCAATGTTAAAACATACTGATTGGATGAGAAGCCTTATCTGAATTGAGATTTTATTGGAATCGAGGTGATTTGCTACTATTACAAATTCGATCTGTAACAATGCAGCATTTCTTCGACGAGGATCATTCTTTTTTGCTGTCTAGTAATATTGGTATTTTACAGATTCACATAGTGAAATAAGTTTACATTTAAAGCAATTCCTACAACTAAAAATCCCTTCTGAACTTATTCAGAAACGTATTTCTCTATTTCTCGTTTTTACTAACAAAAGAAAGTTTTAAATTTAAAAATTTGATCGTTGGTAACTATTTTCGAAAAAATCTAGCTTCAACTGTTTAAGGCTAATAAAATGTTTTTAGACCTCAAAGTTTTTCAAAATTGTCAATTTTTAAATCATCATTTTTGCTATCTCGAACAATTATTAATAGAGTTTGACTTCCACATGTCACAACAAGATTTTTTTTTCTTATGATTTCAAAGAGAACTGTTCGAAAAATTTGAAAATTTTCTCTCTCTTCAACAATATCAAATCGAAATCAGTGAGACGATTGAAGATCATCGGCTATCTTTCCGAAAAACATTTGACTCTCTGCAATGCTCCTACACTCAGATATCGAAGAAATAAAATTAATGCAAAACTTTTGTCTTATGAGTTACTCGTCGTTGTGTATAATTTATTAACTATAATTGTTTTTCTCATGAGGGCAATCTCTACACTCATTTATTTGCCGTTCAATCAAGACCGTGTGCATCATATAGACCCAAATCAGCTAAAAATATCATGGAAAGAGTTTGAATTTTCCGCTGATCGCTTTGGAGACGCAGCATTTTTCAAGTGAATGCCCTAGCACCATCCCTCAGTAATACCAGGAAAACTAATTTTCGAATTTTTGCTTGAAACTTAATATAGAGGAAAGCCTTAATGAGAATAGTTTATTGTGAATATTTCAGATCTTTTCATCATTTCTCATCTTAGAATAAGAGTAAATATTTACTTTTGTCTTTTATCCTTAATATGGTTATTCCGTATCCCATATAATTCTACATTTAACGATCAATTTTGCGAGAAAAACAATAAAAGAGATTGAGGCATAGGCATAAATACAGAAAAGAAAAAAAAACAACAATTATAACGATTTAAAATGAGAAATATATAAAGAAAATTCATCACATCGAAATCAACCAACGATGATTATTAATTATTATCAAGCTCAAGTAAAAAACTTGGTACCTAGATAAAGAAAAAAAACATAAAAGATTATTAAAGAAAATATTTATATTTTCTTTTACTGTTAATCCTGCTGATTGAATTATATTTCTACAAGTTCTTAATTGATCTTCATATGTTGAACAAAGAACAAGTAAATCATTTTGTTCGGTTAAATTTTGTTGATAAGAAATATTTAATTTTTGATAGTCATTATCCAATCGACTTTTTTCATCAATTATTGCTTGCATTTGATTTTCAAGACCCTAGAAAATTACATTAATAAAAAAAAATAGTAAAGAAAAATAAATTCAATTAACATACTTCAAGAATTGATATTTTTCGTTTTTCATTAATTATTTTTTCTTGTAAAACACCATTTTCTAATTGTAATCGAGCTATTTCATCATTTTGTGTTGCATATCTAATTAGATCATACAGAAATAATGTTTTTTCCTTTTTTTTTAAAATCTTATGCTTACTTTTCATCATATGCATTTACTTTTTCTTGTAATTCAGTAATACGAGCTGTTAATGCTGCTCTTTCACCTACTGGAATTCGTCCATCGTTCTTTATAAATATGATAGAAGTATAGATTTCAAATGAGAATAAGACATGTTTCTACCTGAATCGTATGATTTTCATTGTTATTCAAATTTAATTGTTCAACTCCATTTTCACGTCTAAAATATTTCGAATTAAAGATTCAAATCAGCGCTTATTTTTATACAACTATAGACAAATTAGAAATCAAAGATCGAAAACAAATCATCAAGCCTGTCAATTTTTTTCTAAAGTTTCAATGAAGATAATTTATCCTTGTAGACGGGAGTATTAACATTAAAATATATAGTGGAGATTATTTTCGCCTCTGAAAGATGAAAGATGATTTTGTTTTTTTTATTCATTTTGACCAGATACTACCATTTCTGCGAATAGCTCGTGACTACATTGTTCATGTTTTACTTATTGACTTAATTTATTTATGCATATGGTTCTAACTTTCTAACAATTTATTATTATTATTAAATACGATACGAAACGAAATGAATTTCTTTTGATTTCTGATTCATATAGATATTATCGTAATATGGTGAGTTTTGATATATACTCTCTTCAACTAGTTCATAATATACATTCAAGATGTTCTAACTGAAAACTAGGTTTTTCTTCGAAATATAAAAGTTCTCGATTCTGCTGATTCTCGACTGGTAGATAACGTAATAAATCAATACTTATTTCATAATGTCTTTATCTTCATATCAAGAAAGCTTTCTACATCCCATCAATTTTATCTTTATAATATTATTATGTGAAGAACTACATAGGTGGTGACAGACAACAGATCAAATGCATCAAAAGCAAACCTGTTTGGATCTTTGACAGAGATAGAAGTTCGGAAAAAGTTTATCCTACACATCTCTTCAACCATCTCCGTCTGACTTCAATAGTTTTTTCGCCTATGAATACTACATAGCGTTAGAATAAAACACCTAAAAGAATTTCGGTTTCTATTAAGGTTTGACTAGTCCATCTACTCTGCTTCTAGAAGCCCGAGTTTTTAGAAAACTCATATTTTGATCTGAACCTTTACGCACATCGAAAACTTAACATTAAAAGGTTCACAAGTTTTGAACTAAGTCTTTACGGGATATGAGACTTTGAACATGTATACAACCTTTTTTTTTTTATAAGTTTCATATCTCGACGAGACTTTGTCCAAAACTTCTGAATTTTTTATGCTCAGTTCTCTATATGCATAAAGTTTCAGATTAAAATTCTACAGTTTAGTTAACTACTAATATCGACCCAAATATATTATGGTTTTCATTAGAAAACTATATCATATCTGTAAGCGAAAAATCGTTGCATTCTTAACTTAAAACTAATATAGTTTTCATTGAAGATGAAAATAAAAATTACATATACGAAGAAACCAGAAAGGAAAACTATTTATTCATAACATGATTCTCTTATTCAATAGTTAACTTACGATTGTACTAAAGTGAAATTCTGCTGCTGTTGTTGTTGAGCCTATATAACATGAACATATAAAAATAATGATAGTGAAAGAAAAAACAAAAAATAAACATAATGTGTAGATTTCAGATTAAACATACCATAATATTTCTTAAATATTCTAATTCCATACGTTGTTGTTCACATATTGTTCTTAATTCATTATGAGTATCTGGTCCTATTAATTATAAAACACGAAAAACAAAAGAAAATAACTCATCAGTAGTTTTATTTTAAATAAACAAACCTTGTTTAGTTGAAATTCTTAACAAAGAATATTGATCTTTAACTTCTTGTAATTTTTGTTCTAAATCAGTAATTTTCTTTTTATACGTATTAGATTCTTCTAAAAATTGTTTTTCTTGTTGTTTATATGTATTTATTTGTTGATCTTGTTTTCTTATTAAATCATGATAATGTGTCATTACTGTTGATGTTTGTTGATCATAAATATTTGTTGATATTGGATCAATAAATGATTTTTCATTTGAATTTATATGACTTGTAGTTAACATACGTGTTATTGAACTTTCATATGTTTTATATAAACGAGCAAATTCATAGTCAAGAGTCATATCATTTGTTTTTGTTAATTTTAATTGTGGTTTTTGTAATGCTTTTGCATAAAATTCTGATTTTGATAATGTTTCAAGTTTTTCTTGAAATAGATCAATACCAATACGTTTATTAATTAATCGTTCAAGAGCTTCACTTAAAAAGAAAGAATGATCTGTTTTTTTATTATTCTTCTTGTGTCTTACGTGGTATATGATGGGATTTGATTGTTATTAAATACTAAACATAAACCTAATGCAAATGAACATAAAGATTGAATCAAAATTTCGCGATCATCTGCCATTAATTGAGCACATATTTGTGAAATCAACTAAGAGAAAAAAAAACTTATTATTATTATTTATTTAATAAAAACTGATATATACATATGATAGACTATTTTGAATTGAAAGAAACGTTTGTACGGCTGATGGACAATTTGATAACCATGTACATATAAAAATGAGTACAGCAATACGAGTATGAAATGAAGACGATGACTAATAATAGAGAATAATATATATATATATATTATTCGAAAAGAAAATTAAGATTATTTACATTTTGTAATAAATCAATGGAAATTTCCATTAATGTTTTAGCTCCTGTTTGTGCTTGATCAACTGCTAATACAACTTTAAGTATTGCTTCTTTAAATTGTTGACTATCAGCAATTAAATGTGCAAGTGCAATACCAGAACACCATGATGCAACAATATCTTTACTTAAATAACCAATAATTAATAAATGACCTAAGGTATATTGACTAGCAGCTGAACAAAAAAAAAAACAATAAATAAAAATATAAATTTTTTTTTTTCTCTAAATGATGAACTAACAATTTTCAGTTTGAGGTAATAGTGTTTGAACAATCATAGATTTTCCAAAATCATTTTTATATAAATAACATTGAAGACAATAAAGAATTGATATTCGAAGTGGAAATGATTGTTTTTCACCAGCAACCATTGTATATAAAAGATTAAATAGTACAGGTCTAGAAAAAAACAAAGTTTTTTTTTCTTTCAATCTAATATTTTACTTACTGTTGAACTTCACCAGTTGTATTCATCACCGAACCAAGAAATTGTTGATTTTCTGTATTACCACGAACAACATCACCAATCGTATTAATAGTCTATGAATATTGTAATGTATATTAGTTTTGACAAAAGAAATTCAATTTACTTCAGCTAAAACATCAGCAGGTATTGTTGTAAGTGTAAGCATGACACATAAACGATGTAATAAACCTTTACAAAAAAAAAACATCGCAGTCATAAAACTACAATAATTATTTTTCTTAATTAAATAAATCTTACCGCATTGACTTATAGTACGTTGACATGCAAGAATATTTTGATGAGAATTTGTTGGTGAAACAAGTATTCGAATAGTCTTTATAGAAATTAAAAAATAAACATTTGACAGTCATAATTAGAATAATAATTGACTTTTTTTTTTGTTTAATCTATTACTTGTAATAAGAGATGAACATTTGTTACTTTTTGTGCTGACCATCGTTTTTCACCAATTGAATTAAGTTCAAAAAAATCAACTAAACGTCGAATATATGAACCTTCACGAAAATAACTTTGATTGGATGGATTATTTTGTAATAAATTTAATAAAACAGATAAACAATCTTCGACAGTAACAACTATTAATAAGAAGATAATATTGTTTTTTTCTTTGAAACGAAAAATTTTACCTCCATCACTACCACCTTCACTAACAAGTATTTCAAATAAACGTTCAAAACCATTTTCAAATGCCACTATTTTTTGTATATTTGTATTTGAACGTGTTAATATTTGTAAAAGCAAAAGTGCCTAAAAATATGATAACGAAAAAAATCTCCTTCCGATTTCAATGACTTTTTTTATCTATACATATTACACAGTCAGAAACTGAAGGTCTCAAGATACAATTTGATAACTTTAGTCAAATCGCAATAGAAACTAAAATTTTTTATTCTAACATAATTTCATATCAGTAGGTGAATTACCACTACAATCAAAATGAGGATAACTGATGAAATTCCTTCATTAGTGTTTTTTGATAAAAAAATAAAAAACAGTAAACTTACATCATTTCGAATAACTTCACGTTCATCTTGTAAAAGATCAACTAATTTTGAAACACCCATAGGTCCACTTTCTAAAATAATATCTTGTAATTCTTTCGTACAATTTGTTAGAAGTGCAGTAAGAAATCGAATAGCACTACGACGAACATTAAAATCAATTTCCTAGAATTATATTTTTCATATAAAATAATTTTTAATTATAAAACAAACTTCAACAAGTTCAAGAGCTGCATGTACATGTTCCTTAGTTTTAATATACAATTCTAAAAATATTTTCTATATTATTGTTTTTTTTTAAACAAAGAGAAATTTTATACCTGTAAATTGAACAGTAATATCATGTGGTAAATTCGCTTGTTCTATAAAACGGAATGAAATCATATAAAGTATTCATTAAAAAAAGAAAATGATCATATACCATCATCATTTCCTGCTTCGTATGTTACTACATTTGCTAATGTTTCAAGTGCCAATTGAAGAAGATCCAAATCAGTTCGATCACCTTGTAAAATATTTGCTAATAACATCATACTTTGAGTACCAACTTCAAGTTTACACTTCTATGTATTTCAAATAGATAAACAACAAGAAATATATATATATAAAATAAAAATTTGAAGAAATTAATTGTCTTACTTTTGAAAGTGCTTTAAGACCACGTACAGCATCTCGTCGATCTTCGCTTCGTGTTGCTGATTGTAAACGATCACAAAGACGTTCGATCTGTAAATCGATGAAAGCATGAAAATATTTTTTTTGTTATTAGATCTTACTGTTTCTTGAGCGATTGTACTATTATTTGTTGGTGTTGAAGATGTTGTAGATGAAAAAAGCGAACCACCACGCCAAAAAGCCATTTTTTTTTTCTTCTAAGAAGAAATCAAATAGAATTTATATTTGTCTTTTTTCAAATTCGAAATTCAAGGTTTCTATTTATATTCGATTAATTTGATACATTCATTCATCTATGTATGGTAGTCAATTAATGGATTCTTTAGTTAACTGTTAGAAATCGTAACCAATAGAGGTCACTAATAATCATTTTATAGATAAAATGCAAAACGAACAAATAAATATCGTAGTTGATGTGCTGAGTTCTTTATATTTACGTAAAGAATATCGTGAATATATATGAAACATATCACTGTATTAGTTTATTGTTTTCTAAATTTACAACGACCAGAAAAATACAATCAAGAGAAATCCCATATAAAATTATTTGAATTTTTTTCTAATTGATTGATCAAGGCATGATAATATATGCCAAGCTTCATTTCTTTTATGATCAATACAAATCAATAGGATTAATTATCCATTTGATCGCTGTATTGACATATATAATACAATATTCATTAACATCTAAGCAAAGATCCCCATTTGATTCAAATCAAGCAAAAGTAGTCGATAGTTTGATACTTAAGCTGTGGGCTATCTCTTGACCGTCATTCTACTCCAGTGTATCGATATTTGTTCTTCGATCGGCAATCTATTACTGGCATACTGGTTGTAGTGCGAACAAACGTACAATATGGATAATTTCAGTAGAAACCTTTCACACTTACGACTATTCTCGCCAGTCAAACCGAAACTTTTATGGATTAAAAATCTCCATATTTTAAGATATATGAACATATTGCCTAGTGTACGAATTTCGTAAAAATAGTTTTGATTCTCAAAAGGCTTTGGACATTTTATGAATGATCTTTGAAACTATCTGGACAAACAATGATGTCTAAAGTTTAGTTCGATTTACATGTAATATATGCATGTTTCACCTCTAGTTTAAGTAATAATAGAAAGATTATATTAAATATTATAAATCTTGCTTTCTCTTGATCAACCATTGTTATTGATAAAGTACACTCATATCTTTTGTGAATTATTCAATGTGTATTTGAACATAAAAATAATTGTCCTAGTCTTTTTCTACGATTAAAACAATTATATGAATACAAGCTTCTATTGATTTATTTCTAGAGTATGAATACTTTATATTATCTATGAATGATTAACTTTTTTTTTTTTTATGTATAGTAATGAAAAACAAGATACAATCAATTATCCAATAAGTAAAAAAAAAAAAAAAAAAAGAAAAACAATACATATGTATATATGAATTCAAAATTCTGTTGTGATTCTAATAGTTTCTTGTTTTTTTTTCTTCATATGATATGATAGTTGTACTAAGGAAAATTCCGAAAATACAAGTGAAAAGGCTAAAGAAATTTTATATTTTTTAAAATTATTGTATATATTTGTATAATAATTGTGTAAGTTCTTCAACAAGATGTTTTTGTTCATTTGTTAATTGTGTTGATAATAATCGTTGTTTTATTTGATTGAATTGATTTATATCATTAGTTTTCATCATTTTTTGTAGATGAGATTCAATAAGTTTAAATCTTCCAGTACTTTTATCAATGATTTCACTTTTTGAAGCTAATTCATAATCTTTTATTGCATATTTAACATTACGAAAAAATTCATATCTCATATAATCTGATGGTAAAATTTGATCAACAAATTCAACAAGTTTTTCATAATATTCATTTTTTAATTCAATTAATTGTTGAGCATATTCATTTCGTTGTGTTTGAGATAAATCAGTCCATGATTGTTGTGAACCTATTTCTTCTTTTTCATGATTAAAAAGAAGATAACTATTTATTGGTGGACGTGGTGGTAAACCAATAGAAGTAAAATATAAAATAATATCTTCATTTTTATATAATAATAAATGTAATGTTGCTATTTGATTTTCAATTATATTTGCATTTGATTCAAGAAATTCATTCCATTTTTTTATTGATTTTGATATATATTTTAATTTTTCATTTTCATCTAATTGATTAAATATTGATCGCATATATGCATTTTTTGTCATAGCTTTTGTAAATGTTGGTTTATCTTTATCTAATACATTTGTTTCATAATAAATTGTATTTGGCATACATTTATGTAATGTATGAAGTTGAACTTTGTTTAATTTTGGTTGACTATCATTTGTTGTTACGGATGGTTGTAAACTGTCAGGTAAGCATGTTAAAGATTTACGACGTTGACGAATGGATGTAGAAGTAATTGTATCATCATGATCGTTAACATAAGAAGTATCAATCGTTTGACGTTTATTTGGTGATTGTTCAACAAATAATAAATAATCCGTTCGAAGACGTTCAGGTAAATCATTAGAAAAATTTCTTACTTGAGCTAAATATTCAGCTTTAGCCTATAAAAAAAAATTCAATTTGAAAAATTGAACATTAACATCATATTAATGATGGAAGTATTGCAATTTCAAATCGCCGTTTAAACTTATATTAAACTTACGAGGAAATAGCCTAAAGGGTTTCGTACTATAGATCTGCGGTATCAAATGTTTCGATTCTGGTCTGGAGAAAACTATAGCGGAATTTATTCGCATCACATATAAAATAATTTTTCAATGTTCGCTTGTATTTGATTTAATATGTCGCCGACTAGTACTTTTTTTGAGTGATCTTTGTTGAATTATGTTCTGATTCATAATGTTGATAACTAATTTGCTGAAAACTATAGAATAGTTCACCGTAAACTTGAGTTCCGGTCCGGTAAGTTTTACATGAGCTTTTAAAGTTGAGTTATATCTGTTTTACTGAACTTTCGATGCATTTTAAGATATTTACTGAAAAATCAAATAATGGAATCTCGATATGTAATTTTGCTTATAGATAGGCTTAACAATTAGTAGAATATTGTGAAAGTTGCAGCCGTAAAAACTGTTCATCTGTCGAGGTATTTTGTGACGTGTGTGTGGCAAGTGTCTATTTGTTGGAAATTCAATATCGTGACAAAGAAAAATTCCTTTTGTTCATCGATTTTAATCTTTTACTGTGAGATTTATATTAATCTAAGAAAATCTCAATTACTACTCGTAGATTGTTTACCTGCTAGAAATAGGAATGCGCCAATACGAGTTTGTTCGAAATTGGTTGTTGTCGAATTACGAATTTTTGCACATATCTATCTAAATTAATTATTTGATTCGAAATTTTTCAAGACCGATTTTTTCCAATTCCAAGCCAAAAATCGAAATCACAAATAGCGCCTATCTAATGAGAATGTTATATTTGTTGAAAGTTCTGTTGAACATGCCAATAAAGCATGATGCTACTCCTTCAATCTCTACCAACATTGATAAGACGTCTAGCATTAATTATTTGCTATTGTTCAATCGTAAACGTCTGTAGTGTTTCTTAGGTAAATTAGAATTGATCATCAGACGTAAAGACGTGTTATATTCGCTTATTTAAAGATAAAATTACTTACTGCTTTTCTCATCGTTTTATAATTTTGTTTTTCATTTACACTCAATGATTTCCATGCAGGTTCACTATCATCATCATCATTTTCTTGTTTCATAACTTGAGTATAATAAGGTACTGCTGTTCTAAAATAAATAGATATCATTAATTTAAACTTAACATTCTTTCTTGTTTTGTCTTCTTTTACCCTGGTGGTTTTGTTGGAGCATTAATTGATTGAAAATATTTCTTTTGTTCACCTTTCATTAATAAATAATCGAACAATTTACATTCTGTTTGTACATGCTCATCAATATCGTTTTCATCCTATAGAATTATATTAAATATACTTTGAAAATAAACAATGTTTATATGTAGTTTACTAGTAATTGAATGTATTTATCGACTGCTTTTTGTAAGTATTTAGCTTGTTTATCTTGTGGTAATTGACAAAATTTGACTCTTAAAGTAAATGGATTATCCTATGAACAAAAAACCATGAGTTTATTAAGAAAAAAAAAACATTATTTTATGCAGGGGCGGATCCAGAAAATTTTGAAAGGCATGGTGGATGGTAACATATTATTAACAGGTTTTCTAATATTTTCTATTATCAACAATTAAAATTTATGCTGCGATCTATAGAAATAGAAACAACTATGGATCAAATCATACAAGAAATTGCTAATGACGAGTAACGTTACATAAATGACCAGTATGTTCTTCACCAAAAGCCACATCGGCGATATTGTGTGATGATACCTGTAGTATATATGTGTAATAAACATTCAGAAAGAGTGAACGTAAGTAATGATCGTGAATGAGGCACAAAATCGCATAAATCTGCAAAGGAATTTTAATATTCTGGAAGAAAATAGCACTGCATCGAACATGATCCGAAACATGAATTACGTAAATCTTTTTACTGAGTCTCATACTTATTGATCATCGACAAAACAAGTAAAAATGAACTGTTAACATGATATTTGGTAATTTCAATGGTAAATTCTACAAACACTCATTAACTATGTGACAAGAATAGAAGCCATATCCAACAAGAGAAAAAGTACTTGACATAAGTAATAGCACTACGTAGAGTTCATATATATATATAAGTTGTTGTCCTTCTTTGGAATTGGTTATTTCAGAATAGAAGCACTGTAAACTTAAAAAGATAATGAGAACTAAAAACTATTTGTCTGTGTCAAACTCATAGAATTACAAAGATAATTAGGCTATAACAAGCATAAAGTTCAAAGAGGAAAGCCACTTTCGCCTCTCCCTCTGGATCCACCGCTGATTTTAGAATGATTTTTATACATACTACATTTCCTTTTCTTTTTTGTTTATTAATAAATATACGTAAAGGTCGAAATGATTTAATTCTAAAATATCAAACATTATAAAATACTCTGTTTTTTTTCTTCAAAACAAAATAAATCAACTTACTCTTTCAAAATTTCTTCTGAAATTAATTTAGTCGAAGGTTTTGGTCGATTTCCTCTTGGCATTATTTCTAAATTGAAAAAAAAATAATAAATCAAATTATTATCTGTATTTATCTTTTTCAAATA